GAGGAGGCGCCGCCCGTCCACCAGTACATCGTGGACGACTTGATCCGAGGTGAGTCGGCAGCCCTGCCGTCGCCGGGGGATGGAGGGTGCTATCTCCAGGTGTGGGAGATGGTGGTGCCGGACCTGAGGGCTCTCTAGATGTGAGAAACTACTTGTTTCTGGCTTAACGAAGCTGCTCTGCTTAGCTTGTATAGTATGGTGCAAAAGCATGCTTCTGCTTGAAATTTCTGCTTGTTGCATTAAAAATAGGCTGTTAAGGATGAAAAAGTAGCAAGAAGCTACAGGTTAGCTGGTTGCCTGCTGTACTGCTCTCCCCTGATAAACCTGCTACCACCTACTTGCTGTGGAAGCCTCAGTGGGATTTATGGGTGTTGTTTGCCCCTAAATGTAGGTTTTACATCAGGTTGTCTTTCTTGCTCCAGGGATTTTCTGGGTGTTTTCTCATGATGGCTTATTTGGGTTGGAGTCGACTAAATTTTCTGGGAAAGCAAATACTTAAACCCCTTCAGTGGCTGCAGGAAAGCTTGTTAAGCATCTTTCAGGTGATATGTCATCTTCAGTAGCCTTTGAGTGAATTTATTGTAATTAGTCCACTTGTAAGCTCTGAGGACATCTGAATAGCCCACCTGACTATGGGGATGGGAGGGTTTTGTTGGTTCTGAGCTAAGTGCAGTTGTAACACAGGCCAGGTGCAAAGTGATTTGTACCTCAGTAGATGTTAGTAGACTGGTGCTGTTGCCTTCTAGGGGTGGATCTGACTACTATTTTTTCTGTGGAAACACCCTGAAATTTGAGTGAGACTAAAGGACGTCTTAGGTGAAGGGGGACCGTGCGCCAGATACTCAGTCTGGGGAACTTGTGGACCCTTGCTGAAGTTTTTCATGAGTTGAAGACCTCCAGGGGAAACAGGAATATCAGAGTTATCGAGCAGTTCGGCTTGAAAAACTACTGGCTGGGTGATTTAGGTGTTGTATAACTGCACAGAAACCAGAATTGTTACCAAAGGTGGTTGGTTTGTAGACTAGCTCTTCTACTTGGCGTGAGGTTTATCTGTGGAGCCTTCAAGCTGTTATGATTCAACTGTAGATGGCTTTCCTGGCTATGCAACTCGCAGACAGGGACATGGAGATCAAACCAACAACTGAGCCTTGAAGAGGGAAGAATGGAAACAGCCTCAGTTATGAAAGTGTGAACCTAAATATCAAGTAGAACTGGGCAGAACAGGGTCTCAGCTGTCAGTGGTAAGCTCACTTCTTAGGGACAGGAAACCTTGCTGCAGGAACAGTGTTCCTCGTTTACATATTAATATAGCTTATACCATTTGAATCAGACTTCTGGTTGCTGAAGGCATTTTTGCTTTTAAGTAACTTCAAGCCAGGCTTGTTGCTCTAGTTAAGATGTTAAATGTTAAAATGTTCAGCTGTCTAGACAACAGTGAACTACACCTTGTTTCTTTGTGCGGGTTCTTGTCACTAGAAATATGGGGTTATGAAGTAGTTGGATCGAGTTGCATCCTATTTTGGTGATTACCTGTATGCTTAGTGCTCTGGGTAAAATATTAATACTCCAAAAATTATTTTCACTAGGTCTGCAGAGCATAATAGAGAAATTGAAGAGTTTTGTAAATAGTTCTACTGTTCTTAAGACCTGTTCAAACTCACGTGGTTAACTGTTACTCCTGAATAGCACAGTGTTGCACTGAGAAGACTTGCTTTATGGCTAGCAGTAAAGGGATGGTTTCTTTAGAGAACCGGTGCTTTACCAGCTTGCTCTGAAACAATGCTGTTAAGCTTTGACTGCTGCATGGAGCAGCTATAGAGCTTAAGATCCTTAGTTAGTGACTGGCTTTAGCTTGTTCTCTCCAGCGAAAGGAAGATGATTGCCCTTGCTGAAATCCAAAGGCTACTAAGTCACCAGCATTTTCAACCACACTCTTCTAGAGGTTTGTCTTAATTGAGATAATGAGGGGCAACAGTAAGCGGCAGAACAAATAACCTGACTGCTGCAGACTATCCTGCTTTCACTCCTGTGCGCTCAGCATCACTCTCAAAGTAGGAGAACTGGAAGTGAACTCTTCTGCTGGAGAGGCACTGCAGGTTATTTGGGAGAAACAAGTATGCAAACTGTGATAGCAAGCTGTCTTGCCTCTGGAAGTGCCCAGGACTATCTAGGGAGTTATAATACCTTTCATCTCTGATGCAAATGGAGAGTTTAGAGCAATGGAAGCTGTTAGCCTTGTACCTGAGTCAATAGTAGTAGATGGCTTGGCTCAGTGTGAACTCCTGTGTTCTTTACCAGTCTCTGCTAGAACATATATGATTTCACTCAAGTATCTTAAGCTGTGAAATGCTGCAGATCTTCAATTCTGCTTTTCATCTCTGGTGGCTCTCTCAGCTCATCTGCTCGTGCTGCTTTTTTTTTGCATTGCACAGGAGTTAATGGTGGCAGAGTTGTGCTTAATGAGCTCCTAAGCTTGCTGCCTTTGTGCTAGGTGTGAAATGCCCAGCTGCATGCTCACTTGCATCCCATGCTTCCTGGCAACAGGTTCTCTTGCAGTGACCATTCTCCTACCCATCACCAAATTGTGTAATTCAATTTTCAGAGTCTAGCTTTTTTAGTTTTGCTAGACTGAGTTATCTTGTCCTTTTTTCAGTTGAACCTGTGGTTAAACCCAAGCCTACAAAGAGGGGGGGTGAGAAGAATGCCAGCAAATCAAGAAGGAAGAAAAATAAAGGGAAAAACAAAAAGAAAGGAACTCCTTGTGACATGGAATACAAAAACTTTTGCATCCATGGTGAATGCATATACCTAGAACATCTTCAGATGGTGACCTGCAAGTAAGTCACTTGTACCTTATGAGTTAGGTGTGATTGGCATGAGCTGGTGGCATATGAGGGCTCAGAGGAAAAAAATCTCTGTCAACTTGGCGTAGATCCATCTCCTGCCATATTTTGACTGAGAATCTTTCTGCCATGTAAATTAAGTGATGATGGAATCTGAGATGCATAACAAGCCACTGAACTCATCAGTTGGTCATAAACTCAAACCAAAAGAATGAAAAGGTGTGTCATCCTGGAACATCACGCCCAAACTAATCTCGACTTGTTGAAATGCTGACAAACGTTGTGCTAGACTGCATTTCATGAACATGCTCTAAAGGGAGCATCTTGAGATTCATGGGAAACTCTGAAGATGTCTAAGTCGGGTTTGAATGTGTGTGGGTGTCCTTGGCTCCAGACAGCACCGGAGCTGATAAGAACTTGTGTCAATGTTTACTTGCAGGTGTCATCAGGATTTTTTTGGTGAGCGCTGTGGTGAACAGTTCATGAAGACTCAAAGGAAGAATGATGTGGCAGACTACTCGAAGACTGTGTTGGTAGTGGTAGCTGTCCTGCTTTCAAGCGTCAGCTTCATTACTGTACTTATCATTGTGATAGTGCAGTAAGTATTATACTCTTTGGTGTCTGTCTAGCTTAAGTGTGAGTGGGACTTGTGTCCAGTACCCCAAAATGACCATGGCTCATCTGAATTACCTGTGTGGAAGACATCTGAAAGGGCTGTGTTCTTATTCCAGCTTGCATATGTCTTGAGAGTAGACGCAAGGTCTGAGAAGTTCCTAAGGGACTCAGTTTTCACTTGCACTCTTTTGCTGTTGGCTGTGGTCAGCCTGTAACTCTTATTTTTTTAAAACAAGAGCCTTCCTGCTCTTGCTGCCACCAGGATAGTTACAGTGCTGCAGAACACCAGCAGGAAGTGATGGAGGTGCATTAATGCTGATGCAGCAGTGCCTTCCCTAATGCTTGTGGAGAAGCCTGCAAGCAGTAATGCCACAGCCTCATGCATGGCTGTTATCCACCAGCTGGGCACACAGCTGGAGGGAAGGAAATGGTGCTCCAGCTGTCCATTTATTAATGGCAGTTGCTGGGCTTAAATACTTGCACTGGGGGGAAGCAAATAGGGGAACAAGTGCTGTTAGTCCCGAATACTGCACTGCTTGCTGTTAAGATGGAGGGAACAACCATTCCAGCCTAACCAGCTGCTTACAGTTCAGGGTGGTGAGTAATCAAGAATCTGGGGTTTTGTTGTGAATAAATTGAAGGAGCTTTCTTGGGTATGTTTCAGGCATTATATTGAACTCTACTTTGTACCTGCTGACAAGCAGTGTGCAGCAGCTTATACCCTGCCTGTGCCTTTGCATCTTGACCGTGTGTTTGCTAGGAGTTTGTGTTGAAGTTTGATAGTACAGGGAGCCTGACTCTGGTGTTTCCTGAGTATTAGAGCAGTCCTTCAGTTCTGGCACTGCAGCTCCACCACAGTAGGGCTTGGGGTATTGTAGGTGGAACTCAAAAGCCCAGTCTAATTTTAGATCTTGATGAAGTACATCAGCTGAACTGGGTACATGCTGTACACTTCCCTGCAATTCAGGAAATAAGGTGTGCATTTGTCACTTCACTGCTGCTTCATATTTAGAACTGAACTTGAGGAATGCTGGGATGAACACTTATTCTCTGAACACTGCCTCATTCCTCGCTGCTAGGAGAGAACCAGTTCTGTAGTGCTGTACAAGCAAATGATCACTGTTAGTTTCTGGAGCAAGCCATGGAACAGGATTGCATTTGTTTCATGCTCTGAACTTTCAAAGGCTTGAGGCATGAGGTTCACTAATCTGTATCTTTATCCAGAGAAGCTAGGTGGTCTGTTTGGAGCAGTTACTAGAAAAGACTGGAGAAACTGGGAGAAAATCAATAAGCAGCTTGCTTATGATGTCTTTAAGGGACACATCAAGTCCACAGGGCTCTCCTTTGGGAAGGAGGAAAGCAGCCTGGTCTCTCTGCAGCTGTTAGCTAAAGCCACCAGGAAATCTGTGCCCTGGAAAGGCTACTGGTGCTTTGTTCAGTTCCAGCAATAAACCCTCTTCATCTTGCTACTTATTTGGGCTTAAGCCAGGCAGCCCTGGCGCTCTGCGCCAAAACTGCCAGTGCCTAACTCAGGGGCTTCTTGATGTTATTGTCAGATACTGCTTGATGCAAAATGTTTTAAAACTGTCTTGCTCAAAACTTCCTGGTGCTGAGGAGTTCCTTGAGGATTCAAAGGACTTGAGTGTAAGTGCTACAGAGGATGTGGGGGCTGGTAACATCAGGATGTACATCAGGGTTCGAAACAACCTCTAACATGCCCTAATCCCACAGGGTCAGGAAAAAGTGTCCTCAGTATGAAGAGAAAGAAGAAAGGAAAAAACTTCGACAAGAAAACAGAAATGGCCATGTTGGTGTGTAAATGAGGAGAAAGCAGGTATGAAAGCTGACCTGAAATGCCTTTCAGTCCTTCCAGGCTGGAGTTACTTTGAGAACTGCAGGCATCTTTTGCAAAGCTAGTGTTTGCTTCTAACATTTGAAGTGCCTTGAAATGCGTAGGTTACATGTGAGTGACTGGCTCAGTTTTCTGGTTTCCTGAAACCACCTGAGTTGTGGGAGTTCAACAGTGCTGTTAGATTTCCAGGTGTCTTAAAGGAAAAGTGAGAATAGGAGGCTGTACTGTGATAAATGGACTTTTGAAAAAAAATCAAAACAAACCCTAATATCTGGGCAGAGGCAGGTTTAGTGCAAGAAGCCATGATAGACTTCCATCCTGGAAGACAGTGAAGCAGCCAAGTGGATCATAACCCCTCATAGGAGAAGTACAGAGCATTTTCATATCTTCCCTGCAAGGCATCAGGAAGTTTCAGGTGCTTAGAGGCTGTACACCAAGACTAAGCTGCCCATTCTGTGAGCATCATAGCCTCTCAGTCAAGTTTCATCCTGTCATAGCAACTGAGTGCTTAAGCTCTTTGGCCTAAGTGGATCACTCCTGGGAGAAATCTAGTGGATTTTAATGAGCGAGCAAGTTGGTCTCTTCTAAGCAAAAGCCCACCTTACAGCAGACTTGAGGACCCATCTTGAACAGGAGTTAAACTACAAGCTGAAGGAGGAAACTATAAAGGATAGTCCTGAGAAGTTCTGGCACAACTCAGAGGTTTTGCTTTGCCACATGTCAGCTGCAGGCTTTGTCCAGTGACAGTTGGAGTGTTTGGCTTGAAGCTGAAGAGTATCTAGCAGAGTGTCCTCAGGTGTTTGCACATACTTAACCTACCTGCTTCAGATGTACGTTTGATGCAGTTCTAGCACAGAGCACTTGTGTTTTGGGTGGTGATTAACGTGCCTGGTCTGCCCCTTACAGAGCAAGTCTGATGTGGCCACTGCCAAGCTGGAGGGTACCTCTGGCTACCTGACACATCCACCTGGACGCTGGGCTGGAGCTGTTGCCACTAAGCCCGGTTTCATCAAGACAGAGGCTGCTGCAGGGAGATGTCAACATGCCACTTGCTGCTGAATCGCTTGCTGGGAAGGACAGTTACTGCTACACCTTGGCACAATGATGTGGAAGGAGCTGCTGCTGTGGGGTAGAGGACCTGCTATGAAGACCTGCTAGAGACTACTGCTACTGAGCCCTCTCTATCAGTGCTGAAGCACCAGTCACTGCTGTTGTGTGGATGGACTTTCTTCTCTTAGCAAGTCTCCTTTGGCAGCTCTAACACTAAGGGAAAAAGCTTATTGTGGCTTTCAGGAAAGGATGGAGGAGAGAAAATTCCCTTCCCTCTCCCAAAGTTAAAAAGGAAAGAGCTCTGGATGACTTCTCTCTCTAGACCTCAGTGGATAAAAAAAACCTAGTTCTGCTGTCACTGTGCTCCCTGTTGATATCAGCTTCAAAGAACTTCATCTCTAGTTCTGACTTGCAGGGTGTTGGTGACAGATCTTTGTCAGCCACACCTGGGTTCTGTTACTGTATGTGTGGAAAGTAATCCCTCTGAATTCGGTAGGACTCGTTGTGTGAGTGGAGATATCCATTTGTGTGTGTGCTAGCCCGAGTTAAAATTAGTCTCCTTGGGATGCTGAGATGGTAAACGCAAGATCTGAAGGAAAAGATCCATGCTCAAAAAAGCTGATAAAGCCTGGACCCATCTGTTATAAACACAAAGCTACTTCTGTTACCCAGATACTCAATGCTGCTTTAAGCAGCACTTAAAGTGTAAAATGCTTCACATCAGATCCAGTCAGTTGAACTTGACCAAGAACCTGTTCCTCTGAAGAATTAAATTGATGCACTGACACTCTGCAAGCAGTGATCTCCTGTGCTCTACCTTCTGGTGCGAAGAACTGAACTTACCTCAAAGTTTTCTGACCCCAGTGCCCTTGGTTTCTTGAACTGTCCGTGCAGTCTTTGTAGCACAGAGTATTACTTGAGTTCAGTTTCTTCTTGGAAGAGTGAATGTGTTCTGTATAAACAGAGCAGTATTCTTCTGGTAGCAGAGCAACACCATTAATTGTCAAGTCATATCTGTAAATGTGTAAATATTTATTACTGTATTTAATATTTAATGTTTCCATAACAAACTTATTTATTTTATAATTAAACTTTTTACATAACCTAATCGTGGTAAGATTTTTTTCTTGCTCTCGGGAGTACATGTAAACACTTGAAATTAGAGCTGGGTTTCTCCTCAAAGCAGGAATTTCAACACTTAAGAGCACAAAGCAGGGCTGTGAAGAGCTACAGCCATGTGTGAAGGGTGAGCTTGGTGCTCTCACAGGAGTACAAGCTGTTGGTAAACAAAATGTGCAAATACAAGTACCTGTTTCAGTAGGAAGTTGCTTTAATTCAGCTACAAAGGAATCTTTTAGGTACTGGATGAGGGAGGGGCTAAGTGAGCCACCTTGTTGGAAGCAAAGTCTGAAACTGAATTTTGAGCAAATGAGGAGCCCTTTGCACTGGACTGGTGAGCTGGGAATATTGAAGAGGGGAGAGCCTTTCATCTCTGTGTGGTCAGAGAGAATTGGGCCAGTGCCTTAAAACTGGTCTTTAATAAATGGGGTAAAGCAGAAGAGCCTCAGGCCAGTGACTCCCTAAACAGAAAGGGAGCCTTGGCCTTTACAGCTTACCTTGAATTTCTTTTCCTCCCCGGATAGTTATTAGTCCAACTGTATGCTGGTGTTGCCCCTAGGCACTTCTAGCAGTGAGCTGAGTTCTAAGTTCAGAGCTGCCTAAAAAACTGAGTGTCAAAGGGGTGAGTATGACTTTAAAGTCACAGTTACAAAGATGATGATTAAGAACCTTGCTTTGAGGCCGTCTTCTCAAAAGTGTCTTCAAGAGGTGCTGCTGCTTGTGGCTTCCCTTGAATCAAGGAAGGAAGAGAAAAAGAGCAATCAGTTTCAGTTAGGACCCAAGCTCTGTGCCCAGTGTAGGAGAAGAGCATAGTCCTGTCCAGAGTAGCTGAGATGCATTTGTTTTGGCCTCCTGACTGAGCCAAGTAGTTCTCAGACTCTGAGAGCAGCCGGTATGGTATGTAGCTATGGTACAGGTAAATGTATTGCAACATCTCTTGGGAAGATTGCAAGACTTCATTCCAGGGAACTTGCTTCATTACCAATGTAAACAGCACTTCTCCAAGCGGCTTTTCCACAGACATTTGCTATTAGAGCTCTGGCAAGAAGAGCTGTTTCTATAAGTCATGCCAAGCTTTTTGCTTTGGAGTAAACAAGCTCAATCTCAGTGGTAACTGAGCTGTAGCCTAGTGAGACTGGGGATGGATTGCAACTCCCATTTGAAAGCTGTGAGACTCTTCTTCCAGAAACTCTTCTCTCTAGTCTTCTTTCTGGAATAAATATCAGGTTTTCTACTTGCTACGTTAAACCAATGCTAGCATAGAAAACTTAGCTGGTTTTTTTCCTCTTCACTTCTCATCTTGAAAGCCTAACAGGAGTTAAGCTACTAGTGTAACTTGTAAATTCCATCTGTTGTGTATTTTTCATACTCTGATTACTGAGTGGACTGGAGAGTATTTTCCAAAAATAACCAGTTAGGAACTGGAAGCGCCAGTCAGAGCAATTTCTGGGAGGTAGGACTCTTGAAAATTTAAGTGGTAGCTGACATTGTCCTGGCTTGGACTTGAACTTGTATCAGTAATCAGGAAGGAAGATCATTGCTGAGTCTCCTTAGCTGAAAGTTTGGAAACTGTGGAGGGCAGGCTTCATAGAAAACTTGTTTCTCTTAAAGGATTTAAGTTACAGCCAGATTTTCTGAGAGGTAGAGCAGCCAGCAACTCCCTTGTAGAGGAGATACTTGCTATGGGTCAGTTAGATCCATCATTGCTGTAGTGTGGCTAGCAAGCAGTAGTGTTTTCTACTTGAGCTATGGCCCTGACAGATTGCTACCAGCTTCCTAATGTAAATTTGATGCACATGCACCATCAAGACCTACAGTGTCCAGTGGGTTGGTTGCTTAAAAAACAAAAAATACAGCTGATGGGTGGAACTCTATTTCTGGAAGTCTCTTGCTGTCCAAGGATGCTACACTTGTGTGACAAGCAAATCTGATCTGCTGCAGGGCAAGGCCACAGATAATTTTTATTGTTGATCCTGCACAGCTGGGTCTGCCCATCAGAATATATACGTCATCTGCTCCCCTCACCATGGAGTTGCCTTAGTTCCACTAAGCATACCTGGATTTCTGGTCCCACATCTTATTAGTAAGTTATGCCTCCAGATTTTTCTTGACCTTCCAGTGGCAATGTTACTTTGAGTGGAGAGCTTCTGTGTCCTTGTCACTTGTAGCTGACTCAGCTGGGACTTGGAAGAGTAGCCTGAGGTTCTTGCACAATTTTCTGCACACACAGCTGATTTTGCAAGGCATTTTTGATATCCAGATCAGTATCCAGGAATTTGGATAATGTGAGGGTCATGTCTGCTTGCACAATTCCGTCTTCTTTCCTGAATGGTTTGTTCTCTGTGATTATTTAATTTTGCAGAAAAAACAAGAGCTCCTCACAATGTTTTTCTCTATTGTCTATTTATGGAGCTTTTGTGTGTTTTGCAGTTGTCTATGACCAGAGTGGCTTCTTGTCTACTTCTGGACTTCACTTTCTTCCTCCTCCCAGTATGCCCCTTTTCCCTCAGAGCAGTAACAGAGGTAACTTTGAATCTTGGCCTGATGGATATTATAGGAAGGCCAGTTCTACTCTGTGGCAATGAAGAGGTACGAGTTCAAGATGTTTTCTTTGCCTTGGTAAATCAGAATATACACGGACATCTGTGAAGGTTGATGTTGTGCAGTGGTTTGCCTAAATCCACCTTTGAGTTGTCCCATGCCATTTCCAGTAACTGGTATTAAGTTTTGAGTTCTTAAGATAACTTTGGGTGTTTTTAATATCAATACACTTACCTAGCGCTACAAATACTTCAGTAAACTACCTGAGCAAAGGTAACCTTGCAGAAGCAAGGTTGTTAACTGGGACAAGCGCTTGCCTCTTTTTGAAGAGGTTTTCCGAATGCGCTAATGATATATCTCGCTTCAGTGAACAGTCCTGCAGTCAGTTGGCTCTTGAGGTGTTATCTTTGATAGGAAGCGATGGCTTTGCCTTCTTGGTGACAGCTGAATGCAGGGAGTGAGCGCCCTCGAGGAGCAAGGGCCAGTTGTCAGTGTTGGAGTCTGTTCACATGAGAGAGATCAGTGGACAGAAGGGTCAGACGGCTTTTAATAAGCAAACCTTGATTCCTTCTCATTTTGTGAACAAAGCTGTACATACCTATCGTTCCTCTGCTGGTTACACCTTCCTTGAGCGAGTAATCCTCATTTACTGCAGGTCTGGCTTTGCCTGTGACTCGTGAGATTGCTCGGTTGAGACAGCTATGCCTGTGAATGTCAGAGGGAAACAGCTATTGTTTGCTGACTGTAGATCTAGGCCCAAAGCCAAGGAAGCAGGATTTGTGCCTTTTTCAACCAAAGGAGACCTGTGAGGTAGGATATCTTAAGTCCGAGGTAAAGAAATGCTTTCAAAATGCATTTTCCTAATAAGGAGAGTAGCATTTTTTCTTGAGAAAACACAGTCATATACTTTTGGTATCAGAAAGACATATCTTTTTGCATATAATTCAGAAAAAAGCAACTTCCCAGCTCAATATTTTTGACTGAAATAGTGCAGCCTGTTCTCTCTGCATTTTGGGACAAAAAGCAAAGCCAAATCGTCTGAGAGTCTGATCTAATGCAGCATTTCCAGTATGTCTTAACCTACATGTCATACCCTCATTCCAACACCATGCATGAAGTCAGGTAACACCGTCGTTACTTCTAACTGCCTTTGGATTCTTACTTACTGATGCTTTGGTCCAGACCTTGGAAAATAGCTCCCTTCTTTGAGTGTGGTTGTCCTGGCACAGCTGGCAGTGGATTTGTATTTGCGTATCAGACAGCAGTCGCTTACAGTCTGAATTAGTTCGTGGGTGGTGCTTGGAACCTGCTGGTTTTCCGGAAGATAAGGAAGTACATGTTTTAGCATGGGTTATGTTCTTTTTGCTTAGGAAAGGAAATCTCTTCGGTATTGCAGATAACTGGTTAAAAACCAGTAGAAACAGAAATTATTTTTAGGTGTTTAAAGCGATGAATGTATTTTAAAATGCCTCTGTTAGAGCGTCCACGGCTCCTGTCAG